AGGGACAGAGAAGTTACCTTGCAAAGCAACACTGTCCTTCCTTAAGAAACGGTGAAGGCAGAGGTTTCTTAGGCCAAATAACTAAATGTCACCAAGAGGCACAAAAGATTTAAGCTGGAAAACAACGTCCTTGGTCCCAGTTGCAGAGTCAGAAGCTTTCTTTCTCTTTTTTGTAAAGACCGGCACCATTCACCCAGCAAATAGGCAGCGAAGTCCTCATTTTCCATTCTCCCTCCTCCATCCCCTACAGCTTTCCAGCCTTCTGGGTGAAAGCCTGACCCGCCTCAGGCACGGATAGCACTAGGCAAACCCGGCCTGGAGGTACTCCGATTCGGGGTCCCAGAGCCCAGCGAACTTCCCCGATTCCCAGCGAGTCACTTTATTGCTTTCGAGCTTTTAGAATGGGGGCGGGGGCTTCAAACAGCCAACCAGCCAGAGAAACCTCACGCCTCAAACTCTCAGCAATCCATGCCCTGAGCTGTGCCAAATCCTGGGAAAGTCCTGAGATGGAGTTAACTTGAAGTGGACAAAAGAGAATTACAACTTTCCAAACACCCGGGTGCCCTGGCAAGTCAGCGTGCGGGTCTCCGAGTTTGCCACAAAGAATCACCCCGGCGCTCCAAGCAGACGAAGCCAAAGCTTCACCCCAGACCTACCAAAAAATTAGACCTCAAGAAGAAGGACGACCTAGGAAGCCCTCCCTTCCACAAGCGCCAGGTGATCCTAATCCTGGCAAGTCTGGGTTCGGCACGTGCTTCAAGCATCCGGCCCTGGGAGCTCTGGCGGCAGGGGCTCCGGCCTCCCACCCATCAGGTAGCTCACTGACCGCGGTCCCCGCAACCCGAGGCTCAAGGAGAGGGCTGCGCGCAGGACCCGGAGGACCCCACAGGGACCGCTGAGCCAGACCTCGGGCGCAAGGCCCTCGCCTGGCGGGACAGCGGGGCCAGGGCCGAAGGCGGGGTTCGGAAGGTGACAGCACTCTGTCCTCTGCCAAGAGTGAGGCAACTCCGGAAACTTCCCGGAGCCGGGGCGCGCCTCCCTCGGCCACCTACTCCGTGTCCCGCAAGCCGGAGCCGCCGGCGCCCAGCGGGCGCACTGACCTGAGATGGTCTCCTGGTAGCCCTTGGTGAAGAACTGCATGGCTGTGGCCGCCCTCCACGGCGTCTTGAGCAGTCCCTGCCGCTGGGGGTCCTCGCCTAGCGAGCGCAGGATAGACGAGTAGGCGGCCGCCAGGTTGGGTAGGTTCAGCTCATTATCCTCCTCGCTGCGGGGCCTTTCGCCCTTCCAGCCGTCCGCCGGCTGGACGGTCTTGGTCTCCGGCCGCGGCGGCTTCTCGGCCAGCCCGCTCGGTCCGGGTCGCGGCGGCTCCCCCTCGGGGAACCCATTACTGCACCTGGCGCCCCGCGGCTTCGCCGGCGCCCGCACCGGACCTTTCTCCATGGACCCGCCTCTGCCGCTCCGGAGGGACTCTGGGACGCTTCGAGGACTGCAACTAAAGTGCGCCGGCGGCCGCAGGAAATAGGCTGTGGCCAGGATCACCTGAGGAAAGTAGGCTACCGGCCAGTGACACCCTCCCAGCCAGAGACAGCGGAAGCCTAGAGAGCTCGGCAGTGCCTCCTTTTTATCTGCTGGCGGCTCGGCCGGCGCCGCGGGGGCGTTCCCATTGGCCGGAGCCTCCGCGCGTCATGGCGCTCGCCCCGCCCCCTCGCCTGTCCTCCGCCGGGCTCCTGAGAGGGGGCGGCCCCGAGGGAGGGGCGCGAGGCGGGGGATCGACCCCGCGAACTCCGGAAAGGCCGCCCCTGGGGGCGGTGAAGCTGACCCGCTGGGGACTCCTCCGGCGCCAGCCGGGAGGAGAGGGGTGGACCACTTGGGTTGTTGCAGTGTGAACCGAATCCAAAAGGAGGCAGGCGTCGGGTGCTGGAACCTTGGCGTGGGGATGCGTGCCGGGGGCGCACGGGCAGCCCTCTCAGGCGAAGAAAACACTGCCTCAGAAGTGCTCTGGTCCCCTCGCTCTGTGAAAGATGACCAAACAGGTGGCCTCGAGGGGAAAAGACTGTGGGTAAGAAGACCAGCTCTTAATGTTTGTAGGGCAAGAGAATAGTATGACACAAAACTCGGGTTGGTTAGTTAAAAATTGTCCGACGCTCCTGCCACCAGCGAGAACCCTCTCACTCGCGTGAGTCTCTGTATCTAGGTGGATGGTATTTGTGAGGGTCAGAACTTTGACCCTGGAGAAAAATTGATTTACAAGAGAAGAAAAGTTAGGACTTTCATTAAAAACCCATTTGCGCTCTGTGGAAATTTGGTACTGATCGTTTTAGAGTGACGTGCTAAGTAAGCTCCTTTCCCCTGGTGTTGGTACAAATTGTGAAACGTTATTGATCAGCTGGACTCGGAACCAGTGACATCTGCTTTGACTGTTTTAAGATTAAAAAATGGGCTTTTTAAAAAAATGGGCTTTTTTCCTCACTTGAGGAGTTATTTCATAATGCCAACGGTAAGTTTTAAAACACGTATCAAATTAATATATGATTTGCTTCAGAGAGTTTCTAATGCTGGCTTTCTGACATATATACAGCTTTTAAAAAGCTTCAAATCAGACAAACCAGGAGAGAAGCCCCTGAAATTATTCTATACTAATACAGTAGCTCAGTCATTATAATTATTAATTAGTATTTATTGGATATCTGCTCCAGGCATAGCCCTGTTCTAAATATCAAGGAAAGAAATATGGAAATTCCTTGGCCTCCTCAGCACCTTTAGTCTAAAATAGAAGAAGTATTCATGCCAATGTGGTTTTTAAAGATAATTATTGAATTTCTATACACATGAAATACCAAACTACATAAATCAAGAAATATGACCATCCCTTGGGCTCTTTGTCAGTCTGCTAATATTTTTGTAAGGTTTTTCCCCCATCAGCAAGGTTCTATAACATTTTTTTCCCTGTAACTGCACTGCCCACTGTCCACTGATATTTTCTGGTCAGAGTTATCCACTGGGTCTCAAAATGTGTCAGCATAGATGAAGACAACATTAAAGAATGGCCTTGTATTTAGCAAATGAAAACAAAGATACCAAGTGAGGTACTTTTAAAAGTGGAAGGATTCAGGGTGCCTGGGTGGCTCAGTTGGTTAAAGCGACTGCCTTCGGCTCAGGTCATGATCCTGGAGTCCCTGGATCGAGTCCCGCATCGGGCTCCCTGCTCGGCGGGGAGTCTGCTTCTCCCTCTGACCCTCCCCCTCTCATGCTCTCTCTCTCAAATAAATAAATAAAATCTTAAAAAAAAAAAAAAAGGAAAAATAAAAGTGGAAGGATTCAATGGAGACACTTTCAAATAAGATGTTTTCTTAGTCGCAATCTTGTGCCTTCCTTTAAAAGCATTTGTAAACATTAACTAATATCGTATTCTCCAAAGACAATTTCTAATGACATTTTTACCCTAAAAATTAAATTTTCTTATAAACACTGCCACTGAGGCATCAGCATTTTTGTTACTCTGGATTTGTTCTATAAAATATTTACTTGTTAAATGGAGGCAGTACCTTTCAGCCAAATGCCCAAAGGTAATACAAGGAAGCTTTATAATCACCATTATATAAACAGTTTAACAGTGAAATGTAGGTTGTTGGCAGGGGTGGTTATAAGTAGAAATGAGAGAAGAAGGAGGAATAAACTAAAATAGGAGGGACATACTCCACAGAATTTATTAGCACAAAATATTTCAACAGTAAAACTATGAGCATTCACAGCTAGAAACTGTAATGACATCTATGTTTCTAACCCAGTAAGGGACCCAGTTTCACCTTGGACCCAACCTGGGAGTGACTTTCTATCAAAAAACCAAGGATTTTTTTTTTAATTCTCCCATTTTTAGGACAGTAGCAGAACAGAGAAGCAGATGAGTGAGATACAGTATCAGAGATTGAATACTGCAGTGCTATAGAAATGTATAGTCACTTACCAAGGGTAACAGGTAAACTAACCTTAGGCATTTGGCAATGGTAACTGGAAAAGAAAAAAGTAAATTTCTTTAAATGCACTTGATGAAGATTTTATATTTGAGATTCAAACTTTAGAGGATATTCTTGACTAAGGTGGAAAGATACACAAGAAAAGTGTCCTTATTCCACTCCTAACTTCCAGAAGAAAAACTGTGAAGTCAATGCAATCCTGAGATGTCTCACTAAATCCCCCAAATGTCAGGGGAAGCAAACTAAATTGAGCCCTTAACTTTCTTCTCCTCTTACTGAGGAGGAATGGAACAACTTTTGGAGAGAAAAATGGAACATTGAGCTGACTCTCTGAGATGGAAAGGAATGAGATCACTCAGCTCTATACTGAGTTGAGGAAGGTGTCCACAGCCCAAAGTTACCTCACAAGGGAAGGGTAGATATACCCGAAATATCACATGTCCCTGGCAGAGGATCTTAAATAACACCGCAAAAGAACTAGCATGTGCTAAAAAGAGGGGTACTAATGAAGAGTGCCTTCTACCACAGATGAACACTGTCCCAACTTTCACAGTCCCTTATAGGAGAAAGGATATATCACAGTCACCTCAAGTCCCAAACTGTAGCAGAGTCAGGAAAACAAATGAGGTTCCACAGTAATGGGAACACAAAGAAGTCATCCTCAATAATATCAGGCATGGGTGGAACAGCAAAACGGCACAGCAACCATTGCAAACATACAATAGCCAAACAAAACAGACTAAACAAAGGCAGGAATAATATACCATATTGAAGACACAAAGACAAAGAATGCAGCTGAGTAGGAAATAAAGCTCATGGAACAGAAGAAAATTCCTCAAAAATTTTTTATGCTACAAAACAATAAAAACATGAGTTCAATACAATAAAAAAAAAAAACCCAAGATAATAGAATAATAAAATTGAAAAAGGAGTTACAGATCTAAGGAAATGAACTGAGGACCATCATTATTATGGAATTTGTTAAAAAGAATCATGTATAAAATAGACACTGCAGGGCCTGGCGTGCTGCAGAGGAACGGCTGTTGATCTGCGGTGGCTTCAGGTCCCCGGCTCGTTGGTGGCTCCCGCGCTCTGCTTCTCCCCACTTCTCTCCAGCAGCTGCCTGGTGAAGACAAAGCCATGGCGCTCCGGGTCACCAGGAACACAAAAGTTAATGTTGAAAATAAGGTGAAGGTCAGTATGGCAGGCACAAAGCGCGTGCCTCTGGCCACGACTGCGGCCTCCAAACCCGGGCTGAGGCCAAGAACGGCTCTCGGAGACATTGGTAACAAAGTCAGCGAACAACCACAGGCCAAACTGCCTCTGAAAAAGGAAGCAAAAACTTTGGTTCCTGGAAAAGTTATTGCTAAAAAAATACCTAAACCTCTGGAAAAGGCACCTGAGCCTGTGCCAGAACCAGAGCCAGATCCTGAGCCCATTAAAGAAGAAAAACTTTCGCCTGAGCCTATTTTGGTTGATACTCCCTCTCCAAGCCCAATGGAAACATCTGGATGTGCCCCTGCAGAAGAATATCTGTGTCAGGCATTCTCTGATGTAATTCTTGCAGTGAATGATGTGGATGCAGAAGATGGAGCTGATCCAAACCGTTGCAGTGAACATGTGAAAGATATTTATGCTTATTTGAGACAACTTGAGGAAGAGCAAGCAGTCAGACCAAAATACCTACTGGGTCGTGAAGTCACTGGAAACATGAGAGCCATCCTTATTAACTGGCTAGTACAGGTTCAAATGAAATTCAGGTTACTGCAGGAGACCATGTACATGACTGTTTCCATTATTGATCAGTTCATGCAGAATAACTGTGTGCCCAAGAAGATGCTGCAGCTGGTTGGTATCACTGCCATGTTTATTGCAAGCAAATATGAAGAAATGTACCCTCCAGAAATTGGTGACTTTGCCTTTGTGACTGACAACACTTACACTAAACACCAAATCAGACAGATGGAAATGAAGATTCTAAGATCTTTAAATTTTGGTTTGGGCCGCCCTCTACCCCTGCATTTCCTTCAGAGAGCAACTAAGATTGGAGAGGTTGATGTTGAGCAACATACTTTAGCCAAATACCTGATGGAACTAACTATGTTGGACTACGATATGGTGCACTTTCCTCCTTCTCAGATTGCAGCAGGAGCTTTTTGCTTAGCACTGAAAATTCTTGATAATGGTGAATGGACACCAACTCTACAGCATTATCTCTCATACACTGAAGAATCCCTTCTAAATGTTATGCAACACCTGGCTAAGAATATAGTCACGGTGAATCATGGGCTTACAAAGCACATGACTAACAAGAACAAGTATGCCACATCTAAGCATGCTAAGATCAGCACTCTGGCACAGCTAAATTCTGCACTAGTTCAATACTTAGCCCAGGCTGTGGCAAAGGTGTAACTTGTAAACATGAGTTAGAGTACTATAACTGCAAATAAAATTGGCACCATGTGCCATCTGTACATATTATATGTTACCTTTACTTTTAATAAAGTTTGTGGTCCTTTTTACTTCTTAAAAAAAATAGACACTACAGAAAATGTAATTACTGACATGAAGAAAGGCAGGTGAATGAATGCAGAAAAGAGAGAAAGATGAAAGCTTTTAGAAAAGACAAAGATGATCCAGCATAAGAATAATTAGGGTTCCAAAGATAGAGAACTCAACAAATGGGAGAGAATGTAGTCAAAGATATAATACAAGCATATTTCTGTACCAGAAAGAAACCCTTATATTTACATGCAATTGATTTTCAACAGGAGTGCCAAGACAATTAAATGGGGTAAGAAGTCTTTTCAACAAATGGTACTAGGGCAAGTGGACATCCTCTTGCATGTAGCAAAAAAAGAACTTGGGGTGGGGGGGTCGGTGAAATAGGCGAAGGGGATTAAGAGGTATAAAATTCCAGTTATAAAATGAATAAATCATGAGGACAAAAAGTATAGCCTAGGGAACGTGGTCAGTAATATTATAATAGCATATGGTGACAAATGTGACTACACTTATTATGGTGAGCTCTGTATGATGAATAGAATTGTCAATTCACTATGTTATACACCTGCAACTAATATAACATTGTGGATCGCTATCTCACATCATATACAAAAATTAACTCAAAATAAATCAAAGACCTAAATGTAAAAGCAAAATTTATAAAACTCTTAGAAGAAAATATAGGCATCTTCATGTCCTTGGATCAGCCAATTAGATTTCTTTAAAAAGACACCCAAAGTGGAAGTAACAAAGGGAAAAGGAAAAGATAAATTAGACTTCACCAAAATTTAAAACTTTCGTGCTTCAAAGGACACTATCCATAAAAGGGAAAATATAACCCACAGAATGGAAGAAAATATTTACAAATCATGCATCTAATAAGGAACTAATATCTAGAATATATAAAGAACTCTAACAACTCAATAAAAAGACCAGGAACCGATGGGCAATAATTCAATGGACAAAGGATTTGAATGGACATTTTTCCAAAGTATACACCTAGTCAAGAAACACATGAAAAGATGCTCAACACTATTAGCCTTCACAGAAATGCAAATTAGGGTATGAGTGAATACTACCTCACAACCCCTAGGATAGCTCTATTCAAAAAGATGATAACAAGTGTTTCTGAGAACATGAAGAAATAGGAATTCTCATACACTGCTAGTGGGAATATGAAATAGTGCAGCTGCATTAGAAAATGGTCTGTCAATTCCTCAAAAAGTTAAACATAGAATTCCTATATGAGCCAGCAATTCCACAGCAAGTAGAAACCTAGGAGTAACAAAAACATGCCTACACAAAACTTGTACATGAATGTTCATAGCACCATTATTCACAATAGCCAAAAAGTGGAAACAACCCAAACATCCATCAACTGATGAATAGATAAACTAAGTGTGATACTAAGTGTGATATACATGTACACTGGAATATTATTCAACCATAAAAATGAAGTACTGATATATCCAATAGCATGGATGAACCTTGAAAACATTATACTAGGGCGCCTGGGTGGCTCAGATGGTTAAGCATCTGCCTTCTGCTCAGGTCGTGATCCCAGGGTTCTGGGATCCAGCCCCACATCGGGGGTGGGGGGGTGGGGGGAGTGTTCCTGCTCAGAGGGGATCCTGCTTCTCCCTCTCCTTCTCCTGTTCCCCCCGCTTGTGCTCTCTCACTCTGTCAAATAAATAAATAAAATCTTTAAAAAAAAAGAAAACATTATACTAAATGAAGAAAGCCACATGCAAAAGGCCACATACTGTGTAATTCTGTTGTGTGAAATGCATAGAATAAGCAAATGCATCAAGACAGAAAGTAGATTAGTGGTTGCCATGGAGTGACCACTAATAGGGTATGGTTTCTTTTTAGGTGGTGAAAGTTTCCTGGAATTTGTGGTGATATTTGTACAACTTTGTGAATATATTAAAAACTATTGAACTGTACAGTTTAAAAGGATGAATTTTATGGTATCTGAATTATATCTCAATAAAAAGGATATTTCTCTTAAAAACTAAAAATAAAATTTGCAAAATATATCTATAACTTTCCTAGAACCAGATGTTCTAGAAAAATTTGAGACAGAATGCTCAATGCCAAGCTGGATAAACTTCAAGGTTAAAGACAGTTTCAAGGATAGAGTTTTTCAAGCAGCCACGGAAAAACAAAACAAAACAAAACAACAAATTGCCTAAAAAGGTTTGCGAGTAAGGATACAAGCTATCCTCTGGTTTTTCTACAGCAACAGTCATTGATAAAAAAAAAATTAATTTTTTTTGGAGGAGACAGCTTTATCACTTTAAAGAAAGTAAGTTATACCTACTCAAGAGAGTATTTAAGTCCAGGGAACACTGTCTTAAACATGTATGAACTCAGAAAACACAACTCAGAAGTTTCTTATTGAGAAAACCACTCGATATGAGATCCTGCTAATTAAGAGATAATCAAAATAAAGAACTCAAGAATGAAGAAGTTATCATAAATATTTAAATATAAAATCAAGGGGCGCCTGGGTGGCTCAGTCGTTAGGCGTCTGCCTTCGGCTCGGGTCATGGTCCCGGGGTCCAGGGATCGAGCCCCGCATTGGGCTCCCTGCTCGGCGGGAAGCCTGCTTCTCCCTCTCCCATTCCCCCTGCTTGCGTTCCCTCTCTCGCTCTGTCTCTCTCTGTCAAATAAATAAAATCTTAAAAAAAAAAAGGAAAAGACCTTTAATAAATAAATAAATATAAAACCAATTTAAATTTTTTAAATATAAAAACAATTCTAAATACAAAGCCAATACTAAATCACTTTGAAATCATTGTTACAGAACAGAACATGAACAGTATGAACCTGGACAATATAAGAATAATACAACTAACCAAAACCGAGAATTGGAGAAGGGTGATGGGCAGTCTTCAGCCTTCATAAAAAGGAGTCAATAATATTATGTAAACTGAAACATATTAGGGGTACCTGGATGGCTCAGTCAGTTAAGCATCTGCCTTCAGCTCAGGTCATGATCCTGGGGTCCCAGAATAGAAGAGCCCTGTTTCTGGCTCCCTACTCAGTGAGGAGTCTGCTTTTTCCTTTGCCCGCCCCTCCCCCCGCCCCAGCTGGCATGGTCTCTCTCGCTCACTCACTCACTCTCTCTCAAATAAATAAAATCTTTAAAAAAATAAAAATAAACTGAAACATATTGGTAAAAAATAAAAAAAAATCTTCATGGTTTTTGTAATTTCTTTTTTTAACTTTAGAGGGATTGTTAAAGAAATACCACAAAGAAATTTTATGTGTCAACTTGACTGAGGTAAGGGTTGCTCAGATACCTGGTAAAACATTTCTGGGTGCATCTGTGAGGGTGTTTCCAGCAGAGAGTAGCATATGAATTGGTGAACTGAGTCAAGAAGATTGCCCTCCCCAAAGTGGGTGGGCATCATCCAACCTGTGGAGGGCCTGAATACAACAACAAGGTGGAGGCAGGGCAAATTCACTCTCTCTGCTTGGAATGAGACATCCATCTTCCCCTACCCTCAAACACTGGACATCAATGCTCCTGGTTCTCAGGCTTTCTGACTCAGATGAGGACTTATATCATCAGCCCCCCTCATCCCACCCCTGTTCTCAGGCCTTATGGACTCAGACTGAAAGTACAGCCCTGGTTTTCCTGGCCCTCCAGCTTGCTGCAGGCAGATTTTGGGACTTCTGGGCCACATAACCACGTGAGCCAATTCTCATAATAAATCTCCTCTTATATATCTCTCTCTATATATTTTATTGGTTCTGTTTCTCTGGAGAAACCTAATACAGATTTTTTTAAATATCTTCCTTCAGATTTGCTTCAGATCCCTTTTCTTCCTATTAAGTTCAAATAAAATGAATATGTTTCTATTAAAAATAGAATTTCTGATAGGATGCCATTTGGCAAAGGGTTTCAACCAGCTTTTTGCAAAGAGCTGAAAATTCATATTAGAATGCCACTGCATGGTATTCATAGTTACCACTCCAACAAACTGTATGTGGTTCTCATTCTATAGGGTAGGCTCAGTTATAAATTCCATTAAAGTCCCAAGTATGGAATAAGCCACATAGCACCTCAACTGAAGATTGGATCCTGATGCCCAGAGTGGGCAATCAGGTAAATGCCACTCTGGAAAGGCTGTTATAGCCATGTTTCTCCTCTGGGTGTGCTACATGTTAATTGTAGCATAGGAACTATGGTTAAAGAAAGCAAAATCCAAGTTCCTGCTTCCTGAGTAGCTATGAAAAAAGCCAGACAACACATGATGTCACCACCTTAACTTGTGCTAAGATTGTGGAATTCACGGGGAGAGCTAGATATGAAGCATTCTTCAGTCTGCTTGACGATGGGGGTGAGAGTGGGGCTTCATCCTGGCATCCCTTCCTTCAGTTACTGCTCTGGCTCAGGACCATCTGCACACCCACTGTAAGATGCAACAAACCTCTTTCCATCCATGTTCCATGTAACTTTGTCTATGTCAGTAAGCACCAATAGAAGACCCCTAGAGATAATTTCCCCTACTCTATATTGAATCCAGAACCAGATGTGGATTTTAAGGTTGAGAATCCCAAGCCAAGAAGGAGAAATTTAAAGTTTCATGAAATTGTCCAAATGCTTTCACTTTGAGCTGATTCTCTCAGGATTTTAGTCAATTTCTGGGTATGTTTAGGGGGCCCTTTTTGGTCTATAGCCTACAATGTGCAAAATATTTGTGGTTTCAGAGATTAACAAAAATTAAGCTTGTAATCTGCTCCAGCTGAGTCAATAAACTTCAGAGAAGGGTTCCATTGCCGTGGCCCCATTGGTCCCATCATGCCATCAAGATCAGGTGTCATTCATTCATTCAACCAATATTTAGTGAACATCTACTCTATGTCAGGCTCTGTTCAAGGCACAGGGAATGCAGCAGTGAACAAAAAAGAAAACAAAACAAGGAGCTTACATTCATTCATTCAACAAGTTCTTTGATGTTGCTACCTCTACAACATATCTGCTTTTTTTAATTACTGGTTTCAG